CCCTAGCATCTTTTCTAAATCAAGTCAACCTGTTGTATACAAAATCCTTAAAAATTCGTTATGGGTATAGTTTCTACATAGAGTAACTCATTTTTCAGTAATTAAGAATACTCAAACATCACTATGTAAATGTAATGAACTGAATCTTAACTGCCTACTAGAGCACAACATGTTAAATGTAACTTTAGTATATTTATCTGAAATAAAGCTTCCTGGGTTTTTAATCTATAAATGAGATAATTTGTAGCCTAACACTCGACATTAAAAACAAAACAAAACAGGTGAGGAGAGAATGCATATTAATTTTTACAGCTGTTTCTAAAAATGGATTATCTGATTATAACCAAATATTCAAATGATTTGGGCTAATTTTTTCCTTACTCTCTCCACAATTCAACTCTTGCGCAGCTAAGACCACCAAACTACAGACTTGAGAATAGCCTTGACACCTGAAAAACCATTGAACTATTAAAGCTTATAGGGGTGCCTGGGTGGCTCAGTTGGTTAAGCGTCTAACTTCGGCTCAGGTCATGATCTCACAGTCCGTGAGTTCAAGCCCTGCGCCGGGCTTTGTGCTGACAGCTCAGAGCCTGGGGCCTGCTTCAGATTATGTGTCTCCCTCTCTCTCTGACCCTCCCCTGTTCATGCTCTGTCTCTGTCTCAAAAATAAATAAATAAAGCTTATAGAAGGAGTTCTCCAATGTACTCAAGATAGCTATAGACCAAAGAGAAGGATCTTTGTCACTGTATTTGACTTTGTCATACCAGAATTACAATTTATGGATCCATAATGAATATATGCCCCAAATCCCTCAGAACAGTAATTTTTTCTGATTATAAAATAAGAGGTACTCTCATATATTGCTGGTGGTAATACAAAATTGTGCAGCTACTTTGGATAACCAGTTTGGCAGTTTCATATAAAGTTAAGCACACGCTTTAAATATAATCCCGTAATCCCACTCCTAGATATTTACCTGAGAGGAATGAAAATATGGACCCACAAAAGACCTGGACATGTGTGTTTATAGCAATTTTGTTTATGATAGCTAGAAAAATGAGAGCAATCCAAACGTCCACCAACTGGTAAATGGATAAACACGTTGAAGTAAATTCATACAATGTAATAAATTCAGCACTGAAAAGAATGAACTCCTGATATAGACAACAGGGGTGAATCTCAAAAGCTTTTTACCAACTGAAAGAAACCAGACGCAAAAGGGTGCGTACTGTATTTTTCCACTTACATGACATTCTGGAAAACACTAACTGTAACGTTAGAAATCTGATCTGTGGGGCACCTGGGTGGCGCAGTCGGTTAAGCGTCCGACTTCAGCCAGGTCACGATCTCGCGGTCCGTGAGTTCGGGCCCCGCGTCAGGCTCTGGGCTGATGGCTCAGAGCCTGGAGCCTGTTTCCGATTCTGTGTCTCCCTCTGTCTCTGCCCCTCCCCTGTTCATGCTCTGTCTCTCTCTGTCCCAAAAATAAATAAACGTTGAAAAAAAAAAAAAGAAATCTGATCTGTGGTTGCAGAGCTAGGGGATGTGAGGAGGAGACTGATTATACAAAGGCCTCAAGGAAGGTTTGGAGGGATGCAGATGTTCTGTTAGTTCATGGTGGCGGTGGTTACATTGCTATGTCGACACTCACCAAATTATATACCTAAAGTGGATGAACCTTACTGTATGTAAACTATACCAATAAATCTTACTTTAAAAATATGGAAGATATGCTCAGTGTAGAAATTGTGGAAATGTGAAGGCCTAGAAAACAATATGAAGGAGCACATGGCTGGCTCATGAGGTAGAGCATGCAGCTCTTAACTTTGAGGTTGTGAGTTTGAGCCCCACATTGGATGTGGAGATTACTTTAAAAAATGAACTTCATCTTTAATCTCACCAGCCCAATATTAACTGCAGGCTTAACATTTTGATTCATCTTTCTGGGTTTTCTTCCCATGCATATACTATAAGCTCATGTGACAGCTTTTTTTTTTTTTTAACTTAGCATTGTAATAATTTTTGCATATTATTTTTTGGCATTATTTTTCATGGCAACTTATTCCTTACCATTGATTCTTAGATGATTTTGAGTTTTTTCTTTTAAACAGTATTGATGAACGTCTTGTTCTTCATTCTTTCCTTAATGTTAAATATCTCTTATGTCCAGAATCTACTTTTATTACTAGTGAGAAAGCAGCTAGCTAGTACTAGACATCTAACTCCAGAAATCATTCTTAGAGTAAAAAAAAAAAAACCTCAAGTTGGTTGAAGTTAAGTTTAATGCATTCTTATTCAGTATAGTTATCTTTTCTGATGTATTCATGTCCACTTTATTTCATAAAATTTTTATCTGGCTAATGTGAAAACTGAAGGACAGAAACTGTCATTTTGCTACATAGCGTTTATAACGTTGCCTTTATGCAGTCTATCTTGTGTTGAACGTAATCTGTTTTCTTATGCAGAGAGCAAAACTCTCATGCTTAGCTACTTTCTAGATATGTGTGATCACTTGTGACTTCTGTTGGTAGTTGACTGATTTCCTTCGTACAGGGCAACACCCCCAAAACACCCCAGAGGCCAAATGCTTACCTTGGTTCCATTCTTAAATCATCTCTTATTCAGTTCCTTACATCTCCCAATTTCTAGTATACGCATGTATGTATCCACCCACTGCTCTGCTGTCTTCAGAGAAATCCTACAGTGTCATTCCCAGTATGTTGAGCCCGGATTTTGAGTGATGTTGCCGCTGGTAGTAGTATTACTTGTGTATCACCTTAGCAAGACTTACACTCGCTTGTGGTGTTGATGGTTTGCTTCTCACTAACTGAGATGCTGAGTGAGACGCTGAAGGAGCTGAGAAGCAGGCAGTGGTCACAGGCAAAGGTGATTCCCAATGTCTTCTGTGGCTCCTCAGCAGCTATTCGGTGCACATCTTGCCAGTGCACTTTTATAGAGGGCGTCTGTCGTGTCCACAGTGTCTGGCTCCTGAGGTCATTGCTGTTAACCCTGTAATAGGAGTTGGGGTGTGTGCATTTCAAGGAGAAGGAAATTACGTACAAAAGACAGAAAGAGAGCAGCTAAGCACCTATCACCAGAACCACAGAAGAGAAATTAGAGCCTGGAGCAAAGGTGGGGCAAAGGGTTTTAACGGGACCTCAGGTGGTGATAGTGAACAGGTGAGCACGGTAGCAGTGGATGTCTCTGTCAGGCAGTCACTAAATGAATATCCAGAAGTGCAGGCAGCATGGTGTCAGGGGTATTGTCAGAGCCGAGTAGAAGTTCACCTAGATAGCGGATAGGTTTGACACAAAATACGTAATTGATTTGGGCAGTTATGGATGATGATTTCCAATGCAAACGTCTAGTTTCTAGTTTGACTTTTAGTAACTGCATCTTTTTTCTTGTTTTTGTTTTTGATTCTGAACATTTAGAACCCAATAAATCAAGCTCATAGATACAGAGAACACATTGGTGGTTTGCTAGAGGCTGTTGGGCTTGGGGTGGGGACAGATGGGGGAAGGGGAAAAAAAAGTAAAGAGTGCCTATTCATTTCTTGCATCACTTTTTAAAAGGGGGGCAAGGGGCGCCTGGGTGGCACAGTCGGTTAAGCGTCCGACTTCAGCCAGGTCACGATCTCGCGGTCCGTGAGTTCAAGCCCTGCATCGGGCTCTGGGCTGATGGCTCAGAGCCTGGAGCCTGCTTCCGATTCTGTGTCTCCCTCTCTCTCTGCCCCTCCCCCGTTCATGCTCTGTCTCTCTCTGTCCCAAAAATAAATTAAAAAACGTTGAAAAAAAATTTAAAAGGGGGGCAAAAACGCTTTGCTGTGCAAAAGAGAATTATTTTAATACGACAGAAACTAAAATTTCAAGCTAAGATTTTAGTTTTAAAAATTGTGAAACTCTCAAGACTTTAAGCCCCCAAATAAGTGATTAACTGTAGTGCTTTTTTATCACTCAGAATTGTATATAAATTTAGTTTGAATAGCCTTTACAGTGGTGAACCTTCACTTCAGAAAAAAAAAGGATTATGATAAACTATTGAAAAATCTTATTTTAATTTAACAACTAGGCCTGTATTTATCATATTTCAAACTCTAATGATATTTTCCACTTTTGTAGTAAGTGTGTATATCGTTCCAAGGTGTAATTTTTTTTTCCCATGGTATAATTTTTAAATAGCTCTCCATGACATGCTTATACTAGAGCAATTTTTAATTTCTTCTTTTTCCTCCTTGATAAACTTGATAAGCTTACATCTATATATATTCAGTAAGAATATTCTCAAATGATTGACTCCTTTATTCATTTCAATTCACATTGTTAATAGCAATGCACAGTTCAACATAGTTTCAGCCAGGGCTTTTGTTTAATTACACCATGTTCTCTTCACCTGAACTTCATAGTTAGGAAAATTTGCAGCAAGATACTTTCTGTAAATCAGCTAAACCTCCAAATTATGAGGCCGGCAGAGACCTTAGAAATCAGCAAAGCCAGTCTTGCCATTTATAGTTGAAGAAGCAGAAACTGAGATTGGTGCTGGCACAACTTGGGGTCACCCAGCTGGACAGTGACCCTTCACTCAGGTTCTTGACTGTACAGCCACTTCTTCTGGGGCCCCACTTCTCAGCCATGGTCATCTGAGAGCTGAAACACTGAGTCTTCTAATCCCCAGTTTGTAGTCTTTGTCTATCCTAAGAAGTGTGTCGTAAGCATAAAATTCCCACTGGTTCTTTGATTATTCTTTCTGGCTCCAACGCGGCTCAATTTGTAGTAAGAACTGACAAATTGATAAGCCCCATAAATCAATTCCCTTTCAAGAACCTAGAATAAGCTCAAGTCGTTTTATAACACAGAAGCTACATGTTTTCTCCATTTTCAAATGAACTAGACTTTGCCTTTAGCAGGCTGGTCTCCAGAACGAATACCTGTGGAAGAAATATGATTGCACAGAGCCACAGCATCATTCATCTAAAATATCTTTTGCTTGTTTTTCTTACCAGGTATTTGTATGCCCTTGGACAGAAGGTCTGGAAAAGATGGAAAAAACGTTACTTTGTTCTTGTTCAGGTTAGTAAGTTTTTTTTCCTGTTACACAACCGGTCTAAGAGCAGTGCTCAAACTTTCGTTTGGTGGGTTATATCTATAGGTATTCACTGTTAGAAATTAAAACTGAAACTTTTAAGTATTTCATTTTAAAATAAAAGTAGTGAATTTCTTTACATGCCCACACAAGTAACATTTTTATGTAAAATAACTTTTGAACCAAACAATTTAGGGAAATGAGTAATATTATTCCAGGTTTTCACACATCTCTTTAATGTCTAGCTTAATAGAATGCAGCTATATTTTCATATCAGGTTCTACATTCAATCTGTTGTAATATCAGATGAAATTTAGCCTCTGGAAAATTCCACTGTACACACAGAGAATAGCTGTGGAAAATGCAGATGATGTCTGAATATTACAGTTTTGACCTCACAGATTCCCTGAAAAGATCTTAAAGTTCTCCAGGATTGCAAAACCACACCTTGGGAACCACTGCATCATTCTGATATTTTATAGATAAACCATAATACTTAGAAGCTTCCATTTTTACATAAATATGACATTTTTTTATCACTTATTCACATAACTGTAGCTTTAAATTTCCAGGACTGGTAGATATGTTTGTAATAGGATTCTGAATATTATTGGATTATTGGAATATATGTTCTGGCTGACTCTTCCTTGTTTTGTTAGTTTTTAATCATGGATAACCTTTACTCCTAGAATATACTCATTAAATTAAATTTACATTAAAGAATAACTTTCTAAATAGTAGTCATTCCATTCTGTGATGAATCCAAGCTATTTTGTTCCCAGTGGTTCTATAGAAAAAATTGTTCTTGGTGGTATTAACGTAAAACAGTCTCTAAACTCTTGTCGATTCTTACCCACACATTAAGCAAATTTAAATGGACTAGATCAGAATAACATGGTGAAATGCCAAGGAAGGAAAACTGTCATTTTTCTGTCTTCCATAAGTAAGGTTATCTATCCGCTTTTGGATGTGCCACAATGGCATGGTAACTTCATGAAAAGTGTAAAAATTCAGTCAAAACTAGTTTTATCTATGTGGAAGATAGCCAGCCTATTTGGTTAAAATGTAGCGTTTTCTCATGTGATTAGAACCAATATTTGGCCAGCTACTTTAACAAAAGATGCACATATGTGTGCACAGCATACGTTGGCAGTCCTGATATAAATAGATTGAGTAAGGGGCTCCTGTTTGGAGTTGAGTGATCTGCCCTCCAAAAACCATACCCATAAGATGTCTTCTTTGGTTTCCAGGTTTAATTTCTTTCAATTGGCACAAGCATTTAAATGCATTTACCAAGAAGTTTTAATGCAGATCTTTCTGGACATTTGATTTTATTGCTATTTACAGATGTCTCACATCTAATGTGACAAGTTTACATTAGCGACTTGTCTTTATCAAATCTTTCTAAATCACTCAAGTGATTTTTCATAGTAGCTGCTTTTTCATAGTCATACTCAGTGCATTTAGGTAGAATCTTAATTCCATATTTTTAATAGCTGATGTGACTGGCACAAACCTAGCTGACTCTTAATTACCATGAACTTTTACTTATTATTATGTTTTTTATTTTTACCTTTTTAAAAAAAAACTTTATTTTTTAGAACAGTTTTAGGCTCACAACAAAACTGAGAGAAGATACAAAGATTTTCCATATATCCCCTGTCTTCACATATGCCGTGGCCTCCCGTTATCAACATCATGTGATACATTTGTTACCAAGGATGAATCAACATTGACACATCATAATCATCCAATGTCCATTATTTACAGTATGGTTCACTCTTAGTGTTATATATTATACGTGTTTGGACAAATGTATAATAACATATATCCACCATTAAATGTCGTACAGAGTATTTTCACTGCGCTAATAATCCTATGTTCTCTGCCCATGAATCCCTTCTCTCCCCCATGGCAACCACTGATCTCTTTATGGTCTCCATAGTTTTGCGTTTTCTAGAATGTCATATAATTGGAATCATACCCCATGTAGCCTTTTCAGATTGGTTTATTTCACTTAATAATTTCAATTTCCTCCATGTCTTTACATAGCTTGATAACTCATTTCTTTTTAGCATTACGTATTCCATTGGCTGGGGGTGACTGGGTGGCTCAGTCGGTTAGCATCCGACTTGTGATCTCTGGGTTATAATTTCAAGCCCCACATTGAGTTCCATGCTGGGTGTGGAACTGACTTAAAAAAAACACACACACATTGTCTGGATGAATCATAGTTTATTCATTCATTCACCTATTGAAGGCCATCTTGGTTGCTTGTAAGTTTTGTCAACTATGTTTAAAGTTGCTGTAAACAGTCCTGGGCAGTGTAGACATAAGTTTTTCAATTCCTTTGGGTAAATACCAAAGAATGCAATTGCTGGATGTTTTAAAGAATGAATCAGAGAATGTTCATTAGTTTGGAGATCTGGTTAAGTGACAAGCTAAGAGAGTTTCTGTTATATTGATCATATGAAAATTGGCTTTATTATTTATTAGATCAGTCTTGAGAGATCAGATGATTGCCTCATGCTTTTGGCCAGGTAAAGTTTTAGGTAATCCTTTTCTGCATACTGTATTTTCTAGCATATGATCGCAAGAATCAAAAGTTACAGAACAAACGTATACTTTGATCACCCTATAAAAGAGTTTAGAAATGAAAGAAAGAATTAGAATACTTTGAGATCATTTGAGGAACATTAACCGTGTCTTTGGGAAGCTAGAGAGTTGGCTCAGTAACAAAAATAAGTTTGACATTTTCAAAGGCAAAATTTAAGCCCATAATTAAAATTTAATTTAAAGCCATATACTCCATAATTGGAATTTAGAAAAAAAACATCACCAGACAATAATGAATTCAGATTTATTCTACCTGAGGTACCTTCTTAAAATCTGAAGTCCTATTTAAGCCTTATAATTTTGCACAAATATATGTATACACATGCATTCATACAGAGAATTCCATGCCCACATGCATTGAAATAAACATGCCAGTACACTGGCAACTTGTTCGAGTTTTAAATACAATTGAATCTTCCTTTCAATTCCAAACGTAATGGGAAGACAAATTGAATGCGCACATTTCCAAATCAAGATGGATGTGTATGGAGATTCAGTGAGAGTGGCCCATTGGGAGGAACTGGGTAGTTTTTATTAGTATTTTTAAAGATAGCTCTCATTCTGTTGGCATGCAGCCTGTAGGTTCATACCTGCAGGTTGCATTATTGAAAGGTGAAGGAGTCATTTTTCTAGGGAGGACACTGTGCCCCTGCTGTGTCCGCTGCTGCCATCGGCAGGATGGTGCTTTGGCGATAATGTGAATCTCATCACCACTTGTGAGTGTGTATTATATGAGTGATATAGCTGGAGATACAGCCATCAGCTCAAGAATTTGTACTCATAAAAATTGATCACTAGCCTGGTTTGGCCAGCTGCAAAGTCATTGTTCAAAGTGAACACTCGAGGGGCTGCTGAGGTGAAAAGACTTTCACATCAACATTTAAAGCAGAGTCCAAAATGGGAAAATAAATTATTTGTTAATATGGGGTGCTTTTCTAGCTTCTAAGTAAGATTCTAAGTAAGTAAGATTTGGTCTCCATTTAGATTCTGAAGTCAGTATAATAACTGTGTTAAATAGATTTTCATGTTTCTTAAGAGGCTGCTTTTTTTTTTCAATGAATGAATGAAAGTAAATGTTGATTCAAGCCAAACTGAAAGAACAGTTGATTTTGAAGAATATGTTTGAAATCTTATCAAAATTAAACTTATGTTTCTTACTCATTTTTCTTATACTTCTTCAGTGTTTTACTATTTGATTTGGAGTATATCATTATTGTGAAGTACTTATGACACTAATACATTTTTGTTCATTATAGTCCAACCATTTAATAGTCTTAAAATTCTCTAAGGTTTAATCAAAAGGAATTATTTCATAATTCTGTGTTCTGCTAATGCCTATTCAAATAACTGTCCCCATGTAGTGCATATTCTGTAATCCAGATATTTCTGAAGCACTCTCACCTACTACTGTAGGTATTGCTGTATTTATTCTAATACTTATTAAGCAATAGTAACAGGCATTTATGCAATGCACTTTTTAACACAGAATGAGGTATGTTTGAGGGATAGGTGTTATGATCCCTGTTGTACAGATACAACTGATACACAAAGGGGTTATGTTATTTACCTGGAATTGGAAAGTTAGTATGTGATAGAGTCAAGCATTCAAATCCACATATAGTCTAGAGAGTAGACTTTTATTTTCTCTGTCATCGTGCTATGATTAAATGGATGCACACAAGTACAGTTGATGTGAAGACAAATAGATATAGGAATAATCTCTGTGGATCATTCATTTCATGAGGTACAGAGCACTTTTACTAGAAACGGCTAGTGATAGCATAGTGTCGTGCTCATGAAGGGCACTTATTGTGTGACATCACTGGAAACTGACATCAGTGTTGTGTTGACTCTGTATCAAAGTGTTCACTGCTTGTTGTCAGTGTGCCAGAATCATGACTTGAAGTTCTGCAAACAACAGCAGGCTATCAAGACATAATGTTAATTACATGCACATCAGCTGAGTTGGCACAGGATGTAAACAGTCATCCATGTCACTGAGTGATCTGTACATGCTACAAACATGCGAGAAGCACTCTGTTTAGTGAGATGCCATCAAAATCTGCTTTAGACTTTAAAGAAGTGACTGCCCTAGTGTCTGGCTATCTGAAATCTTCAGCACACATGGAAATCCACTGCAGCAGGCTGCTGTCACATATCAGAGAAGGCCACTACTGGATGAAACGCTATGGTCTAGATTTAGTCTGAGGTCATCAGCTATGTTGGCTTGTAGTAATATGAAGTGGACAAATACACTGTTGACAGATGCAGAAAATCATGGGATAGTAGCTCTCTAGCTTTATGTTTTAAATTAAAATTTACAAACCCAGGGCACGTACAGTGTAGGATGAAATCAAATCATACAAAAGTA